CGAGTTTGAGTGTCTTATAATCTTTTTGATTAGCATTTCAGCTACTTGATCGTTCATTTCTTTTCTATGGAATTCCGGTGGTCGGTATGATTTCGTATTGATAATTTTGTCTTCTTTTAGGACGATTCGATGAGACGTTAACTGGCAGCTGGGTAATGGGTCTCCAGGAAGTGAAAAAATGTCATGATATGATTGAATAATTTTATTTATTATTTCGCGGTTTTCTTCTTCAATATGGCTTAGTCGAGTGTTCTGTGTTAACAATCTAAGACGTGCCAGAAGCTCTTCTTCTGTTACCCGATGAACAACATATTCGATAGGTTCGCTTTTCAAAATTTTGTAGTTTAACTCTGTTGTTGAAATCAATTTTGTTTTTTGGGATTCATTGATAAGAGGTACGGTTATCTTGTAGTCACAAACGCGAAAAATTGAGTCAGGGACATGTGGATTGTCCATAAAGCCTACACAACCATTTTGTTTCGAAACAGGGATCTCGACCAATTTTATTTGATTAGGAGGTATTAATATTCCGTCGTCTATGAGATAGTGTGGTTTGTTATCGAGTTTTAGTTCGTTGTTTGATAGCAGGTAGCTGTAATTTTGAAGAAAACAGAGTCCCATAATTCCATCTTCGGGTAGAGGGAATTTATCAGGTACGACATTAAATGTGTGAGTTTTACCAAGGTATTCTATCTCGAATTTAAATTTTGATTTATGAGTTTCATTGCCCATTTTGAATTCTTTTTCCTGGTTAATTTGGTTGAAATGGGAAGGGACGAAAGATTTTTTTAATAGGTTTATTGAGGATCCTGAATCGACGAGTAATCGAATATCTCGTTGGAATTGTCGTGGTCGTAATAGCACTGACTGAAGTCGTCCAGATACACAGGATATTCTGTCGGACAATTCGCTTGAATTTCGTCTGCGTTTTCCTGATTTTCGCAATGACTTGGTTGTGGCTGTTCTTCCTGTGTCAGATTCACTCTCGCTGGGGGTTTCTTTACTTTCTGAGCTAACTGAAAATTTTGTGATTTATTATTTTTCGCATAGCATTGTGTTTCTAAATGACCTAATTTTTTGCAAAAGTCGCATTGTAATTGTGTTCTTTGCGCGAGGGACATATTGTGATTAGGCGGATTCGAATTTGGGACTCGTATACCTGGACGTGGTGGCACAAAATTTTGTTGGGGATTTCGTGCAGTTATTGCTGTTTTAAATCTCATTTTTTCTCGAGTCCATACCTCGGCTTCAAGGGCTTCTTCTTGGGCTTTGTTGATAGATTTTGGTCTTGAGGGTCTAACTTGAATACCAAGGTCATCACGGAGGTTCATAATATAGCGTTTTATTGCCGTTTTTTCCTCTATTTGCAGAGCCACCTTTCGCGCGATTTCAGAGCTGTGTTCGGATTGAATAGCGTAATATAACTCGTTAAGGCATTTTCCGAAACGTTGATTGAAAATTTGTACATTGTCGTTCCCTTGTCTACACGAATCTAATTTGGCACGACATAATTCGATTGATGTACCAGATCCTAAATTTGATCTGAGTGCTTGATAAAATTCTTCATAATTATTTATCGAAACGTGTCTAATTGATCTTTTGGCATCACCAATTACTTTTTCTGTTAATATGAAATCTAATAATAATTCTGGTTGCGAACATCGTAGCCGAGCGCGTTGAGCTGTTCTTATAAAATCTTCGGTACCGACATCGTCGCGCCCGTTAAGAATTTCTACCGTTCGAATGATTTCCTTAGCAGGTAAAAGATCATTGTCTTGTTGTGTACGCAGGTCCGGAATTTCGGTCGTAAAACTGTCGGGTCTTGGGGCTTGTACTGGGTTTTCAGTTCGTATGTTTTTTTGAAGAGAATGAATTTCATTTGTAAAAGGAGTTTTATTTTCTTTACCACTCGTGGAGCCATTTTCCTCCGATGTTTCGCCACTACTATCGTCGTCTTCTGTGAGCAGTTGCTGCTCATCGCGTGCAATTTGTTTTATTTCTTGTACCCTTTTTAAATTTTCTTTGTTTAATTGAGCAATACTTGTTTCGAGGGATGAATTTGAAATTTGTAGTAAGTGTAATTTTTCAAGAATTTGGGTTAGGATTTCATTTTGGGGAGAGGATTCAATCCCTGAGGCGTCTGTCGACATTGTTATTATTACAATAAGTTACTTGATAAGAGCAAAGTTTCAGTAGTTATAAAAATAAAAAGAATTTAAATAATTTTGTCAAAATTTAGCAGAATCGCTAAATATAAAAGGTATGTATATGTATATACTTTTCTTGTATAAAATAAACATAAACTTACTTTTTTTGTTTTTATCTTCGCAATAAGAAGTCTTACAATTGCTGAACAAATCCGTAGAAGTCTTCACAATGGTAATTTTCCTGATTGCTAGTCCTCCGTCTGGTAGAGATGACTTGATGTTTAGCAGGTTTTATAATCCCACGGTGCCAACTTGGTTGGGTGGCGTCTCACCTTCTCTAGGACTAAAACCCACGGAATCACTATCGAACTTACTCGATTCGGCCCGAGTTCGTGTTTTCCGGTGATTACCAGTGAAAATATCACCGTATAAACCGTCACTTTTCACAATAAAAAACTGGTTCACACTAGGATAGCCGATTTTTGATCGTAATCGTATCAAACTATCCTGGCAGGATCGCCAAAAATGTGACGGGTTAAATAAGTAACACTTTTGTTTTAATTTATAATTGAATATCCTTAGATATTCAGTCTTTATTCAAATGAGTTGTTTAACTTTAAATAGTTTCCGTAGAATTACATTAAGGTTCCTACTCGTAAGTGGGCTAGGAAACAACTGTCTTGTACCCCTGGGCCATTCCTTGGGGTAACCGATGGTCCAAGGAATGTGTCCTTGGAAAATGGGGGAGGAAAAAGAGAAAGCTGTGAACTTAGGAAAACAGCTTGGAAAATGTTCGTTACATAAGATAATAAATCAATTTTAATAAATAAATAAATATCTGAGCTCACAACACTGTGAACGTCTCACAAACACATTAGTAGAACCTCTGACTGATAAAGCGCTATTTGAACTGCTGCAATCGCTACTTTAGTTTCTATATTACCATAATCACATCGTCATCATCGGTATTTAGATAATCCGATATTAAACAAATATCGCAAATGCGAAGTGGAGACAGGTCATTACCTCGTAATTTAATAAAACCTAACGATGGAGACGTACATTTTGTAGTATTTATCTAACGTCCAACACCGGATTATATAAATACCGACGGTGCCACAGTGGGCGAAATTGACAAAAATGACGTCAAAATTCTTTCTCCGACGTAATTTTTATCGCATCGACAAGAGACTGCGCTGAAAATACAGCTTATATAATATGGTATAAGACAAAGGTGCGATCTTTTTAGTTTAAGCTACGTAGATTTTTTTTGCACGGTCTTAATCTTTGCAAAAAAATTATTGAATTTTAACAAATTGTAGATAGATTTAATAATTCTTTACTAATTTTGTTAATTTGTTTCCTCTTAAAAGCTTTGAGGGTCTCTGATTACGAATCTAAAATCAAATTTTTAAAATTCATAATGGCGGATTCAATATAGCGGACCAAAATTTTTTAATTTATTAAATGTTTTTTAAACTTGTTACTTGGGGGTTTTCAGGGTCGCTGATCATGAATCTGAAGTCAGATTTAAATAATTCAAAATGGCGGATCCAATATGGCGGACTAAATTCTTAAAATTTATCGGATTTACTTCAAACTTGTTACTCGGGGATTTTTAGGGTCACTGATCATGAATCTGAAGTCAGTTTTATTATCATATTTAATAAATTTGAATTGATTTAGATCATGTACAGCAACGGAATAAGAAAATAAACGTCTTTTTAAAAAAAAGTGTATATTTATTTGTTAACTTTAGACATTTTTTAATAGTATATTGTAAAAAAAATTCCACTGTGGGCCGGTGCACTTTATAAGTACCCAATGGGAAATTGCCAATGTTCACCATTGGCTAAATAATAATTGACCAATATTGGCTGCCAACAGTTTTTTCTTGGTCAAACATAAACTAATATTGGGTTATTATTGCTAGAGTCTTTGGATGATCACGACTTTGACAAGCATTGGCAGCCAATATTGGATCACTATTAGCTGCCAAGGCAAATGCCGGACTTTCCAAGCCTTGGATATTCATTGGGAACATAGATTGGACCAATATTAATGACCAATTAATTACCAATGCTTTAAAATTAAATTTAATGAATTTTAAGAATTTAGTCCGCCATATTGGATCCAACATTTTGATTTTTCTAAATCTGACTTCAGATTCATGATCAGCGACACTGAAAACCCCCCGAGTAACAAGTTTAAATAAAATCCGATAAATTTTAAGAATTTAGTCCATTATATTGGATCCGCCATTTTGAATTACTTAAATTTGACTTCAGATTCATGATCAGCGACCCTGAAAACCCCCGAGTAACAACTTTAAAGAATTATTATACCCTATTATATAAGCTGTATTTTAAGCGCAATCTCTTGTCGATGCGATAAAAATTACGCCGGAAAAAGAATTTTGACGTCATTTCTGTCATTTTTGCCCACTGTGGCGGTGGAGAAGTGGTCACCCATTTAAAAAAAACGCAAAATGCTTGCAAACTTTCCACGGACTTTCAGCGGAATCTTGTCGACAGAAAGTCTGGTGGGTCAAAAAATATAAAAAAAAACTTATTGTTTTAAGCTTTTGAAGACATCTGTTTCTTATTTCACGGTCCTTTTATCCATGCGATGATAACATTAATCAATAGAAGGGATGGAATTTCTTAATAAGTATTTACATGTAACACCTGAATTGAATAAAAGGTCTAAATATTTTCAATAACTGTTCTTCAAATTGTCAAAAATAGTTAAGCAATTATTGTATAAATTAAAATATTATTTACAAAACATAAATAATAAATTTATAAATATTCTTCTGCATAGTATTTTTTCAGGAAAACTTTCAAGAAAAGTTTGTATTTTTATTTCTGTTTAAAATATTACAATAATAAGTATTCTCTTGTAAGAATGTATATATTGTCTAAAAGTAAAACCCAACCTAGATATTGAATAACATGAACATGATTTTCCCTTATCTAAAAAACTACCATAAGCACGTACTCTACATTATCAACAGCGCACGATTTGAAAAAATGGTGCAGAAATAAGAAGCAGTTGGCTGCTTCGCCCCGTTCTACTCTATACTAGACTATCCACTACAATCAAAGGTGTTACTTTTTATTTTCTTTAAATAATAACCTTCATATATTACCAATACCATTTTCATAGAGACATCTTACGTTTTCGCATAAATTTTATGACATAACTTTCATGACATTGCGAACAAACGTTACGAAAATAACGCCACGCACGCATGACATTTTTTACTTGTGTTTATTTTCCTAAGGGCGGTCATAATTATGGTTATGATCTGATAAGGAAAGAATAATATATTAATTATTAATATGTAATTATAATTAATTACTTACATTAATGAATTTATTTGTCTATTTACTTCAATTGAATTCAATGTTTTTGACATCAGAACCATAAAAAATTGTTTTGTTTAATTGTCAACCATGCCAAAGAATAAAAATATTCTACATTCAAGAGTAATCCTTTTGTTTTAAGAGGAAAAATTGAGAGGACATTAAAAGAGAAATTTTGCTTTAAATATGAGATTACATTTTTTAGGTATGTGGTCAAATTATATTAAGATATGTCAAAAAAATACAATAGAACATTTTTAAATACAATGATAAGTTCTTTATTACAAGGCACTATTAAAATGTCATTAACACTTTTATTATACTTTAGAACATTGTTCTACTTAAAATCTAATAAAAGAAATATATCTAACGATTTAATGAAGTAATTATTAATTATTTATTCATTAATTTTTGTAATCTGTTTGAATTTACGAAAAGACTATATATATGTATGCAAGTTAAAAATAGAAATTTTAATGTGTATAAAGCATTTCAGTCTCCATGGAAGAACAAGGAAAAGAAGTGACAAAAGCAGGGTAAGGAAATTATTACATTTCGTTAAATAAATGTTCAATACTGACTAATTTACAATCACATATTAAAATTTTACAGTATTATAATATATACAATCACTATGATTAGTATTGAATTTTCGGTTAACTTCTATTAAAATTTCTATGCAGAATATATTCATTATCATAATTATTATATAAAATAATTAATAATTATACTTTTTAATTTTAAGGAGTGCTAAGGGAGTATTCCATAATGTAGTAGATGGTGTTACCTTATTTGTAAGTTGTATATAGAAAATACTTTATTGTCAGTAATTATATGTGAGTCATTAAAATAAAAATGCAATTTTTGATTCTATGTATACTAACTTAGATTTTTGTCGTTGAAATTTAAACTTGTAAATACTCTTTTTTGGTTAATGGGCAAAAAGTATATTTAACACAAATTTATGTATTAAAAATAAAATAACAAAACAAAAGAAACAAAATTTTGAGGGAACAACACTGACATTTTGCTTTACTTCTCTAATTTTTAAAAAAAATAAGACTTTATTTATAGGGGAGAGGGCCCTAAGGTGGTCACCCATCTTTTGAACGACTGTAGATTTCAAATGGAATTATATATAAAGGTCAATAATACGGCGTTTGAAACATTATCTTATTACCTAACTTCCTATCATAAAGTTTTTTTCATTTCATTAATAAAAAAAAAGTTATGGCACTTTTTAAAAAAAGTTGAAAATTCGACTTTTAAAAAAGTGGCCCCAAGATGGTCACCATACAAAAATTCACTAAAAAAGTTTTAAAAAAATGTAAAAAACGTATTATAAGTTGTTTATTTAATATTAATTGTTTTTCAGGATCACAGAAACATATTACATTTTTTTTGCACTTTGTCCTTTCGTCAAAAATGATACTTTTTGTGTATGTATTAGATAGGTAAAATTTTGAAAATAATTATATTTCATTATTATTCATCATAAAACTTAAAAATTGATAATATTCACATTCACAGTGATAAATGTTGATAAATATGGCGTATAAACACATTTTCCTAAAAAATCAAAAGTGACCACCTTGTGGCCAAAAAAGTGTCCACCTTAGGGCCAAGACACAATTTTTTAAACGTTAATGAAAAAATTTTTTAAAGCACAATATTAATTATATTTATTTGGAATATTATTGTACGATATATAAAGATAATTATAACGATTTTTACTAATTTAAAATGGTTAATTTCGATGATTTTAACACCCTGAGAAAAAAATTTCTCGATCATTTAAAAACAGAAATTTTACGACGTTCACGTTACAAAGAGACTCATACGATTATTTACCTCAAAACTTTACTAAAATCTTTGTCTTCACAAATAATAACAATAACAAAAAACATTTGAAGATACTAACTAATATACAAAAATTTTCTTAGGGTGACCACCTTAGGGCCCTGACCACCTTGGGGCCCTCTCCCCTAAGTTTAATTCGCTTTGTTTTTTCAAATACGTATCCCACACAGCACCGAAACTTTCGGACTTGCTTGCAAACTTCGAAGTACTTACTTGAAAAGTTTAGTGAAAATTTTGTAAAGATTTAAATGTCCCACTTCAATACATGTTCAGCGTGAAACTTTCCTAAAAATTAAAATAAAATTTCGCCTACTCTACATAGGCGAAAATTTAATTTAAATATATACATTTTCTCTTGTAAGAGAGAAGTCGAAAATTTAATTTTAATGTTCAGGAAAGTTTTAAGTTAAATTTTTAGGAAAATTTGACGATAAACATTTATTTAAGGGGGACATTTAAATCTTTACACAATTTTCACTAAACTTTGAAAGTAAATTTTTCGAAGTTTGCAATTAAATCTTTAATAAATTTTCAGGAAAGTTTCGGTGCCGTATGGTATATTATCTGAAATTGTGGTACAAAAAATGCAAGAAACATTAATAATTTGTGGACATCCGCATGAAAAGGGACTACTTTGTCGGTTCTAGATTCGGAGGTAATCGCAATTTACTACCCACATAGCACAATAGTATGAGGTAAGGTTATGTTGAGTACTAATCGTAAGGCACATAAGGTTACACAATATTGCTGCGGTAGACCTGAGGTGAACTAAAAACTTCCGCCATGGAGGTAAGGTTACATGTTAGGGTGTGGTGAGTATATATGATAAGGCCATGGTAACCTTACACGTTAAGGTTAAGGTAACCTTACACGTTAAGGTTGATGTAACCTTACACGTTAAGGTTGAGGTAACGTTACATGTTAAGGTTGAGGTAAGGTTACATGTCAAGGTTGAGGTAAGGTAATTATTAAGTTGTAAGGTTGAGGTAAGGTTAAGGTAAGGTTGTGATAAATTTACCAGTTATGGAAAATATTGAAAAAATAATTAATAAATAAATATTCAATTAAAAAGTTAGTTTGTTGCTCCTCTCTATTTTGGAAACCTGACATGAAGCAGAAAATTTTGAAAACAAATTTGGGGGGACTGGGATTTGAACCCGGGATCGACGCGCATAAACCTATCATTCTAACTAACTGAGCTAAGTAGAGAACTGGTAGAAGGAAAATTAATATTGCCTTTAAGGAGTTAATCATCTTCTTGGTTCACCTTAAAGGCATCATTAATTTTCCTTCTGCCAGTTCTCTACTTAGCTCAGTTAGTTAGAATGATAGGTTTATGCGCGTCGATCCCGGGTTCGAATCCCATTCCCCCCAAATTTGTTTTCAAAATTTTCTGCTTCATGTCAGGTTTCCAAAATAGAGAAGAGCAACAAACTAACTTTTTAATTGAATATTTATTTATTAATTATTTTTTCAATATTTTCCATAACTGGTAAATTTATCACAACCTTACCTTAACCTTACCTCAACCTTACAACTTAATAATTACCTTACCTCAACCTTGACATGTAACCTTACCTCAACCTTAACATGTAACGTTACCTCAACCTTAACGTGTAAGGTTACCTTAACCTTAACGTGTAAGGTTACCATGGCCTTATCATATATACTCACCACACCCTAACATGTAACCTTACCTCCATGGCGGAAGTTTTTAGTTCACCTCAGGTCTACCGCAGCAATATTGTGTAACCTTATGTGCCTTACGATTAGTACTCAACATAACCTTACCTCATACTATGGTGCTATGTGGGTAGTTTTGAAAAAAAATGTCTAAACTTTTTTTATTCTTTTTTCTTAATCTACAAAGTCTCACACGTCGAATCATGCATTTATCATTAATTTATTAATACTTTTAGTATTTTATTTCATTGTTAGACAAAAAAATAAAAAGGGACCACTTTGTCGGTCTATTGCAAAAGTTGTTTCTGTTTCAAAATGGAGGGGGCGAAAAAATTCAGAACCTTTTGATTTTTTATCTTGAGGGTGTACTAGACTTAAAACAACTGTCATCTGAATAACTTCGCAGAAGAACTAGAGAAATTCGCATTACAATTTTTAATTTCATTTTTATAGAAATAAAAATTTCGATATATCCTAAGATTATTCACAATAAAGTCCCTTATAAATTTTTTTATGTCTACTTTCTACTCTATTGTTACTTTAAAAATAACTTAATAAAATAACATTCAACCATTAACTTCGCAAAAAATCAGGTTTATTAATTAAAAAACGCAATTTTAGAAAGAGGACCACTCTGTCGGATGTCCGTTATTTTTCATTGTTTCAAAATTCGAAACCTATTACTTTTTATCTTAAAGGTGTACTAGGCTTAAAACTATTTTTATCTGAATATCTTCCTAGAAGAACTGTAACTAATCGAATTTTTTACCAAAAAGGTTCTAAGATTACTCATAATTTTCCAAATTTTGCAAGAAATTCGCCCATACATTAGTCCATTAGTGCCCACTGATTTCTATATATTACTGGATAGCGTATTCCTGAGACGAATGCATATCCCCTAATCGCCAAGTCGTCGAATGATCAAATAGTCGAATGCCAAGTAATCGAATGGACAAAACGTCGAATGCTAAAAACATCGAATGGACAAAACGTCGAATGCTAAAAACATCGAATCGCCATTTAGTCGAATGCTAAAAACATTGAATCGTCAATACGACGAATGTTCAAAACTTCGAATTATCAATTCGTCGAATGTTAAAAACATCGAATTGTCAATACGTCGAATGTTCAAAACGTCGAATGATAAAAACGTCAAATGCTAAAAACATCGAATGGACAAAACATCGAATGCTAAAAACATCGAATCCTCATTTAAACGAATGCTAAAAACATCGAATTCTCAATTCGTCGAATGTTCAAAACGTCGAATGCTAAAAACGTCGAATGTTCAAAACGTCGAATGCTAAAAACATCGAATTCTTAAATCGTCGAATGCTCAGAACATAGAATAGTCAGTGCGTCGAATGCTCAAATAGTCGAAACGCCATCTGTTCGAATTATCAAGTAGTAGAATGGTAAAGTTGTCGAATGTTCAAAACGTCGAATCGTCATCTGTTCGAATTGCCAAGTAGTAGAATGGTAAAGTAGTCGAATGGACAAAAAGTCAAAACGCCATCTGTTCGAATTATTAAGTAGTAGAATGGTAAAGTTGTCGAATGCTCAAAAAATCGAATTGTCAATACGTCGAATGTTCAAAACGTCGAATGATAAAAACGTCAATTGCTTAAAACATAGAATCGTCATTTAGTCGAATGATAAAAACATCGAATCGTCAATTCTTCGAATGCTAAAAACATCGAATTCTTAATTCATCGAAAGCTTAAATCATCGAATTTTCCATTCGTCGAATGTTCAAAACGTCGAATGCTAAAAACATCGAATTCTCAAATCGTCAAATATGCTCAGAACATAGAATAGTCAGTTCGTCGAATGCTCAAATAGTCGAAACGCCATCTGTTCGAAATGTCAAGTAGTAGAATGGTAAAGTTGTCGAATGTTCAAAACATCGAATCGTCATTTAGTCGAATGCTAAAAACATCGAATTCTCAATTCGTCGAATGTTCAAAACGTCGAATTATCAATTCATTGAATGTTAAAAACATCGAATCCTCAAAATGTCGAATGTTCAAAACGTCGAATGATAAAAACGTCGAATGCTAAAAACATCGAATCGTCATTTAGTAGAATGATAAAAACATCGAATCGTCAATTCTTCAAATGCTAAAAATATCGAATTGTTAATTCATCGAATGCTTAAATTATCGAATTTTCCATTCGTCGAATGCTAAAAACATCGAATTCTCAAATCGTCGAATGCTTAGAACATAGAATAGTCAGTGCGTCGAATGCTCAAATAGTCGAAACCATTCGACTACTTTACCATTCTACTACTTGACATTTCGAACAGATGGCGTTTCGACTATTTGAGCATTCGACGCACTGACTATTCTATGTTAGCATTGGGCGATTTGAGAATTCGATGTTTTTAGCATTCGACGTTTTGATCATTCGACGTTTTGAACATTTGACGTTTTGAACATTCGACGAATGGAAAATTCGATGATTTAAGCATTTGATGAATTAACAATTCGATGTTTTTATCATTCGACTAAATGACGATTCGATGTTTTTAGCATTCGACGTTTTGAACATTCGACGAATGGAAAATTCGATGATTTAAGCATTCGATGAATTAACAATTCGATGTTTTTAGCATTCGAAGAATTGATGATTCGATGTTTTTATCATTCGACTAAATGACGATTCGATGTTTTTAGCATTCGATTAAATGAAGATTCGATATTTTTAGCATTCGACTACATGACGATTCGATGTTTTTAGCATTTGACGTTTTTATCATTCGACGTTTTGAACATTCGACGTATTGACAATTCGATGTTTTTAACATTCGACGAATTGATAATTCGACGTTTTGAACATTCGTTGTATTGACGATTCGATGTTTTTAACATTCGACGAATGGAAAATTCGATGATTTAAGCATTCGATGAATTAACAATTCGATGTTTTTAGCATTCGAAGAATTGATGATTCGATGTTTTTATCATTCGACTAAATGACGATTCGATGTTTTTAGCATTCGATTAAATGAAGATTCGATATTTTTGGCATTCGACTACATGACGATTCGATGTTTTTAGCATTTGACGTTTTTATCATTCGACGTTTTGAACATTCGACGTATTGACAATTCGATGTTTTTAACATTCGGCGAATTGATAATTCGACGTTTTGAACATTCGTTGTATTGACGATTCGATGTTTTTAATATTCGACGAATTGATAATTTGACGTTTTGAACATTCGACGTATTGACAATTCGATGTTTTTAGCATTCGACGTTTTGTCCATTCAATGTTTTTAGCATTCGACGTTCTGTCCATTCGATTACTTGGCATTCAACTATTTGATCATTCGACGACTTGGCGATTAGGGGATATGCATGCGTCTCGTATTCCTATACTTCGAGCTTAGAAATATTGTGACCAATAGAAGGCCGGAAGGCCATTTTAGGAAGCAGTGAGTTTCTCACTTTGTAGCGCGAAATTTGAATGCGCTTGAATAAAACATATTCTTCAAAATGTGCAGATTGAAAAAAAACAATAAGAAATATTTTCAATAAATGTATTATCGAAATTAAAATTTTTAGGTTAAAGTATTCATAACTTTAACCTAAAAATTTTAAACTTTTAACCAAAAAAACGATCTATTGATCGTCACACAAATATAAAAACAAATAAGATATGCATACAATTATTTCAATTATAGCAGTAGATTTTCTTTTACAATGAAAAAACATAATTTTGTATTACACTTAACCAAAAAATTAAAAGTAAATTTTATTATATTGGATTTTCAATTTCTTGTGCACAAATGAAAGAACAAAATTTTAGGATAACTGGTATTTTTCCTATTTTGCAATAATTGTCCAAATTGGGAGAAAAATCCTTTTGAAATTATGTTTACGTTCAAGCAGCCATATTTAAAAGGCGACCACTGTTTGAAATTGCGCAACACCGTTAATAAATACATAACCTTCAAAACATAATACACTTATTACTTGTGAAATGATTTTTCACTAATTGTACTTTGCTCTTCACCACAATAAAAACACAATTTCACCATCGTGCAATTATTTTTTTAATTAATTACAATAATAATGATAAAGCAATGTCAATTAATAACTGCAAATGAAATAACAAATTCACTTGCAAAAACACATTATACAGACTGTAAATAGTAAACAAACGCAGACATTTCTTGCATTCTGCGCAATCGCGAACGCCATATTTGAGAAACTCACTGCTCAGTAATATGGCGTTAAGTCGTTCCATTTGTCACAACCGGAAATAGCCCTATACTACATCAAGTTATATATAGAGATCAGTGTTAGTGCTAAAGTGGTCTTTTTTTATGCAGACATCCACATATATATTAAATATATTAAATATTTAAAACAACCGAGTGATATCAAATACTTTTAAAAAAAATATATTATTTTTTATCGTTACTATCATTTTCAATTATGCTACACCTGGTTTTGGCTAGTAAGCTTAATGGAAGCTTACAGCAAGACAATGTTCTATGTGGGCAGATTTTCGGACAGAACATAAAAATGACATTTTTATCCCACATGCACAAAAATGGCGCTTTTAGATAGCTGACGACAGGGAGTAAAGTCACTCATTTGTTCGACCATATGAAAATTGCGTCCATTTTCTCCCAAGAGCCAAACATAACAGCTGATCCCATGCGTTATTTTTGACCATGGGAGAAAACGGTTGCCATTTTCATATAAGTCGAACAAGTGAATGACTTTTACTCCCTGTCGTCTGCTATCTGAAATCGACACTTTTGTGCATTAGGAATAAAAAATATCGTAAGTAACACAGGAATAAAGGCAGCCAATTTGTTTACGATGATTTTTGTGACACGAGTGAAGGTCGAGGGCGCCGTAGGCGCCCCGAGACCTCCACTCATGTCACAAAAATCACCGTAAACAAATGGCTGCCTTTATACCCTTGTTACTTAATATACTATTTAATTGGAATCACCAAAAACTTCACTTTTATAATATTTAAAGAAATAGGTACTTTTTTCAAAATATGAAATGTAACGTGCCAAAAATTGCAGGTTAATTTGTTTCTGTTCTTATTTTTTACATTTTACAATGCAATGCTCTAATCTGTAATATATTAATTATATGTACAATAGTTCTGTCAATTAGGGCGAAAAATTCAGGAGATCTATCTTCTAATATCATTTGGAAAATGTGGCCAGATCTTTGAAACAAAAAAGGTAGAAACAACAATTAAATTACCAAGCGGAGGACGAATGCCAATCTTAGGATCTGGGACTTGGCATGTATGTAATTTTATTAATGTGTAAACATTTTCTCGCGTAACAATGTATTTCTATTATTTTAGATGCAGTCTAAAAATTGTCAATAATTTTTCAGCCCTTTTACCAATTTAGTGAAATGGACACGATAGGTAGTTTGCATGCAGCTTTAGAAGCGGGATATAGGCACTTTGACCTCTCTCCTGTTCATTTGAACGAAACGGAAATTGGAATCGTTTTAAAAGAATGGTTTAATTCTGGAAAAATTACAAGAGATGAACTTTTCATTGTTAGCAAAGTATGTTAAACTCATATACTACTCTAAGAAATCCCACAGTGGCAACTTTATCCATCTGTTAAAAATATGACAGCGAGTTAGTGAATTAACGTTTGTTCACAAGAGAGCGAAATACTTGCTGATATTGTTATAGGTGTATTCCACGACAGTTCAACACAAAAAATTTTATTAGGTTTTGGGATTCGGTTGAAATTGGGTAGATTATACTGCCGTACTTGGTAAAAACTTAGTTAAGGTAGTAGTCGCGCTGCTGGCTCTGGCCAAAAGTTTACCGGGCTGCTTACTAGAGTGGGGCAGTGAGAGTGTGAGAGACAGTTTAACTCCCTACTCTATTCGTTCGTATAATTTAGTTATTTTTTTAACTTTCTGTCAATATATTTATAGTTTGGTGCGGTCAAAAAATGTCATGTTTTTTTTATTCATTTGTTTCATCTAATTGAATACTTTGGTAGTTTTTTTCCAAATATGACGATTAGTTATCATATAAATAATTATTAAACAAAATTAATACATGCATTGGGTGCTCCCTCCATGCAAAATGTATGAACTTTGAATTTATTTTTTTAAGCTTTGAAACGGTCAAAATTAATGAAATTGGTCTCATTCTGTAGATAAATACTTCAGGAATAAGTATGCAAAATTTGAAAAAAATCTGACGAAAACCATTTTACGCGACTAATACCTTAAGTCATATTTTAGTGAGAACGAGAAAATGACGAAAAACTGTTTGTAGTAATAAACCTAATATAGTATAAAAAATTATTTAATTTAACTTTACTTCCTAGGTAAATTGATAGAGTTCTTTTTAATTCTGCAGTCAAAAATTAATTATTTAAACAAATTATATTAAATAATGGACTTAAGTGTTATTTTTAAAAGCAAAACTTAGTTAAATTGACTTAAGGAGTGCTCAGCGAAAAGGTAGTCGAGTTCAGGCCGCCGATCAGAAGCAAGAACTCAGTTAACTCCACACGTGGTGGAATCTTATGACTTAAGGAGTCTGCTTTCGAAACACAGTGTCTGGCTCATGCCACTTTTCGAAATAAGAACTCAGTTAACTCGACTTAAGGTTTTTGCTTCGAAACGAAAGATGAGTATTCACTATGTTTTTGATAGCAGAAATATTATGTCGACTTGACTAAGTTTTTGTTTCTTATCTTATGCTCGAGCTCATTGACTTCTACGATTTTTACACTACGTAACTCAAGTTACTATACTTTTTCTCAAGTATTTTCTCGATTTTCGCAGATTTTTAATAATTATTTTTTGCAATAAATAATTAAAATGAAATTTTTTAAAAACATAAGTAGATGCAGTTTTTTTTACGAATCCATTGATATAAAAAACTCATTTTTCACAAAAAAGTGACTTAACCAAGTTTTTACCAAGTACGGCAGTATATCCTCTGGTGGTAATAAATAAAATCCCTAAGCGATTTTAAAAAATTTCAAAAATTGGCGGACATATTGGATTTTTAATTTTTTTGTACTTTTTTTGAAAAATATATATCTCTGCTTCTTCTTAACGGATTTTAGTTTATGACCTCTTAAATTGTTCGTATTGAAATATACTTTTATTTAAACAATTAAAATTAAAAAAATTATTTAAATTTTTTGTTTAAAAAATTAATTTAATTTTTTGAAAAGCCATAGAAAAAATATGCTACCTCCAATTTTGGTCATTTTTTTACCATTTGTAGCCATAAATGTGTTGAACTTGTCCTGAAATTTTCATCGTGAGACAGCCAGTAGTTTTTGAGAAAAAAAATAAAACGTAAATCCTCGCATAGCGCTGTAGCGCTCAGTTTTAATGCCGCACGATTGTAAATGGAATTTTAATGAAAGTACGAGTTTTTATTAACCCTAGAACTAAAATATGATTTTTTTATAGACTAACGAAAAACTGGGGTGGTTTGGTACCCCAGATTTGAAACAATTGTAAAAGGTTACCTTTTTTGTAATTTTTTTAATTTGTCAACAATGTGGCTAATTTGAAAAAATTAAACGGATTTTAAAAGGTAAATAAAGAAAAACTGTAAGACCTCGGATACTCCCCCGTAAAAAATAGAAACCTCCTTTGTAATAAATGATTTTTATTCTATTTTAAAATCATTTAACATTTGTATATATTGTAAATAATATTTAAATTTTCAAATTGCCTTAATCAAAATAAAATTGTCTCTATTTACTTTTTAAAATCTGTTTAATTTTTTCAAATTAGCCACATTGTTGACAAATTAAAAAATTACAAAAAAGGTAACCTTTTACAATTGTTTCAAATCTGGGGTACCAAACCACCCCAGTTTTTCGTTAGTCTATAAAAAAATCATATTTTAGTTCTAGGGTTAATAAAAACTCGTACTTTCATTAAAATTCCATTTACAATCGTGCGGCATTAAAACTGAGCGCTACAGCGCTATACGAGGATTTACGTTTTATTTTTTTTCTCAAAAACTACTGGCTGTCCCACGATAAAAATTTCAGGACAAGTTCAACACATTTATGGCTACAAATGGTAAAAAAAATGATCAAAATTGAAGGTAGCATATTTTTTCTATGGCTTTTCAAAAAATTAAATTAATTTTTTAAACAAAAAATTTAAATAATTTTTTTAATTTTAATTTTTTAAATAAAAGTATATTTTAATACGAACAATTTAAGAAGTCATAAACTAAAATCCGTTAAGAAGAAGCAGAGATATATATTTTTCAAAAAAAAGTACAAAAAAATTAAAAATCCAATATGTCCGCCAATTTTTGAAATTTTTTAAAATCGCTTGGGGATTTTATTTATTACCACCAGAGGATATAATCTACCCAATTTCAACCGAATCCCAAAACCTAATAAAATTTTTTGTGTTGAACTGACGTGGAATACACCTATACACAACTGCCACTGTGACAAACAAATTCGATAAAATTGAGAATTAATATCTTATTAAAACTTATTTCCAGTTATCACCCATGGGAAATATTCCGCCCAAAGTAGAAAAATATCTGAATAAAACACTGAAAGACTTGCAGTTGGATTATTTAGATCTCTTTTTAATTCAACTACCGGTGACATTTAAAGAAGCGTTTTTAGAATTCACTGAAGAACATGAAAAAATGGGATTACTTCCCGCCCCTGACTTGTGGTTTCCGTGGAATTTAAAAGGGGAGGTAGAGTTAAATATGAATACTGACAACAAAGCCACGTGGAAAGAAATGGAACAACTAGTTCACACAGGGAAAGTACGAGCTATTGGCCTGTCAAATTTCAATATTCCGCAAATTGAGGAAATTATTCAAATTGCACAAGTTCCCATTTCCAATCTTCAAATCGAAATGCATGTTTACTTCCAGCAAAAGGAACTTGTACGTTCATATAAAATTATTCTTTATCAAGTTTTTAATTACTTTTGCAAGAATTTATTTCTTTTATTTGTATGTACAATGATTAATGATACCATTTTAATTTTAGCATGACTTTTGCAAATCAAAAGGAATTCCTATAACGGCACATACTCCCCTTGGATCAGCAGGATACATTAAAACAATGCAATATAAAAAAATTCAAAACTTTTACAATCCATTGTTAGATCCAAGAATTGAAGTGATAGCGCTGAAACATGGGAAATCTACTGCACAAGTTTTACTTAGATTTTTAATCCAAAAAGGAGTGTCAGTAATTCCAAAAAGTGTCGATAAGAAAAGACTGCAAGAAAATATGGATGTCTTTAATTGGAATCTTGATAGTTCAGACATGACGGACCTAGAAAGTTTTAAACGAGGATCAGAGGCTCGAGTTGTAGATTACACCGCTGTCTTTAAAGGCATCGATAAACATCCAAAATATCCATTCAAAGTATAATAATAACTATAAATTTAAGCTCTCAATTTTAGGAATAATATTTTAATGTACCTATGTTTAAAAACATTTAATATTATCAATGTACATTGTAAATTTAGGTTTTACAGTAAGTTTAACGTAAAAAATATTGAAAAAATTTAATTAATCTTGATGTTTTTAATTAATATACAGTTCATAAATAAAATAATTATTTTACTAAATATTTTTCTTCAAATATGTACTTCCATGATAATAATTAAAATGAAGTTAAAATAACATAAAGGCTTTTAACTCTGATTGCATTCATATGCAATCAACGTTTCACTTAAATAATTAAAAAATATCTCATGAAATGAGTATTCTCATTTCATAATATTTTTCAATATAATCCAGTGAGACTATTTTTAAGTCATAATTATAAAATTTATCAGAGTACATAGTCCAAGTCACAATTACACTCAAATAGGATTAATTCATTATTATGTATCCACCAATCATAAATAAGGGTAGTTTCAGGCGGCCATGACAGCAAGATAGTAATTAATAAACAAGGAATAAATATTCTTTTGAATAGTTTGAAACCTTTTTCTTTAACGTACAAAAGGTTTAAAGTAAATGAAATAAATTTTGTAATAACATTTTTTTTTATTAAAAGTCACTGAGATGTGATACTAATCCTTTCATGTTAAGAAATGTTTCTAAACATTTCGTGGACATTCCGAAAGTGTTACAAAAAATTTTGTAAGTGAGGTGAATAAGAGGTTGGACAAAAAATGGACTAATTCGAATAATAAATCCTAAAACTTAAGTATTTCATTATGTACTGATTTAGTTTAAAACAATATTAATTTTAAGGCTAAAATTGTTAGGAACGTTAAGTTGCTATCGGAAGAACGATATTCCTGATAACTACTTGCCGTATGAGGTTTTAGTTGTAAATAATTTGAACGATGAATTGATAAAATATACATTGCAGCTTCTTCTGATTGCTTAGATAGCAAAATTAACTTAGAGGCAAGAGTTTGTTTAATGAAAGTTTTGGGAAGATTTTTTGGACTGGTAACAAAAGTTTTAAAGAGGGTTGGTCAGATGAATTTTGTAAATATTTTTAGCAGGAAAATTGTTCTTGTGTCCTTTTATGTAAAAGCTACAAGTGTAGCAATGAAGGAGGAAGGGCAAAAAATTTCTTCTTTGCTCATGCTACTTGCAAGCATTCTGAGTGTACTTCCTATTTTTTTCGAGTATATAGTCCTGTTTTGACATTTTGAAAACTGGATGTAGCAATTAGTTATGCAGGGCCTATTCATCATAATGGTAAAGTACATAGGCAATGTATTAAAGGTGAGGAAAGAAAAAATATTGCAAAAGAATTGGAAAGTATTTCGTCAGCAAAAATAAAACTTCTGGGTGCAACAAAAAATGTTAAGCGAAAACAATTAGAAAAACGATTTGGACGAAAATGAAATAAGTTTCATGTTAAAGTTAATTAAACATTTTGAAGAAACTTGGATTGGAAATCATTTTAACGGCTCTATTAGTATACATTCCTGTGATGCTAAGCTTTAAACTCCACAGGATCGTTAATTGTTATTCCTGAAAATGCAAAAGGAGCTTTATTGCACAATTCATATCTACGATATACGAGATACCTACAATTTCCAACTTTTAAAGTGGTGCAATGTACAACTTAAAAAATAGACCAAATGAACAAACTTTTTACGAATATAGAAACGGATTTTAGCCTGACATTGAAACAAGCTGTATGGCGAGAAATAATTGAAAAAACTATTTCTGATTTCATTAAATTAATATGTACGTAACACAAAAAAATATAAAGTGTTTCCGTTACCCATACAGTACATGTTCGTCTTATCTTCTAAAGACATCACTGCGTAAGGCAAAGGAGTTGTTTCCATATTAAAATTACCCACATGGGATCCTACATGAGATCTTACGTGGGTTCTTATACAAAAACCTGTATAAAATCCCAGATCCCACGTAACAATCCACATGGGATCCCATGTAAAAGCACATGTATATTTAGGACACGATTTGAAGCAGGAATTCATGTGGGAATTTGAGTTTGTGTATCTACATAAAAATCCACATGAAATCCTATGTGAGAATAGATAAAGGATTTCATAAAGGATTTCATATGGGATTTTATATGGGTTTTCATGTTTCATATATAAGATTTCACATAGGATTTCACAAAAGATTTGATATGTGTTTACATTAGGAATCCATTGTGAGAATTTTCAAAGGATTAAAAATTATTTAATTAAAAATTAAATAATAAATTGTATTATCATTTCAAATCATCAGTAAGAAAAAAATTCGATAATTTGAAACACTTCTTCTAAGCTATAAACTCTCAGTTATATAGTGTTAAAAAATCATGTTAACAGGGGAAGAAGTCGCTCTCGCCACCTGGCGGTGAAAGTATATGGACTGTGGTATTCTGTATCATTAATAAAAAAAACAACGTGAGATCCTATGTAAGATCCCATGTGGAAAATAATATGGGAAATAATATACGATGTCACCTGGGATTTCATATAATTTTCATTTCTATGTAAAATCCTACGTAAGATCCCGTGTAATTTCCTATGTTATTTCCCCATATGAAACTATATGGGATCTTACGTAGGATTTTACATAGGAATGAAAATTATATGAAATCCCAGGTGAGATCGTATATTATTTCCCATGTAATTTTCCACATGGGATCTTACCTGATCTTACATAGGATCTCACGTGGTTTTTTTTATTAATAATACAGAATATCACAGTTCATATACTTTCACCGCCAGGTGGCGAGAGCGACTTCTCGCCTTGTTAACATGATTTTGTAACACTATATAACTGAGAGTTTATAGCTCAGAAGAAGTGTTTCAAATTATTAAATTTTTTTTCTTACTGATGATTTGAAATGATAATACAATTTATTATTTAATTTTTAATTAAATAATTTTTAATCCTTTGAAAATTCTGACAATGGATCCCTAATGTAAACACATATCAAATCTTTTGTGAAATCCTATGTGAAATCTTATATATAAAACATAAAAACCCATATGAAATCCTATATGAAATCCTTTATGGAATCCTTTATGCATTCTCACATAGGACTTCATGTAGATTTTTATGTAGATACACAAACTCAAATTCCCACGTGAATTCGTGTTTCAAATCGTGTCCCAAATATACATGTGCTTTTACATGGGATCCCATGTGGGTTCTTACGTGGGATCTGGGATTTTATACAGGTTTTTGTATAAGAACCCACGTAAGATCCCATGTAGGATCCCATGTAAATATTTTCAATAGGGTTCCGAATACTCAGCATATTCATGCTTGTGGTTTATTTATAACAATATTGATTTGTAAAACCATTAAAGCAAAAAATATTTTTAAGAATATGATTGTCGCTTTCGGTTCTAAAAAGGAAGCACACGATTTTGATCTGTTGTTTGTTAACCATTTTCAAATACGAAATTTATGAAACAGATTTACTAATTCTGAATGAGTTTTGTGAAGAAGAAATTAGTAATTCTAATTATGAGACACAAAAATATAATGTCGAGTAAGAAATTGACGAATTCGAATCGCATTTTCCATTAAATCCTTTTTAATATGTTAAGGATTTGAATTTTTTGCGCAAAAATATATATACTAATTTCCTGTTTGACGATATATCAGAAGTGATTTGTGAATAGACGATGGGATGTGAGATCAGTTCGTCAAGATCGTTGTGACAAGAGCGTACGTATGCGAGATAATATTCTGAAATCTGTTCGATCTTATTTACTGTGTTTTACTAATTATCCTAATTTATATATTTTTAACTCAATTTATTTTATTATTTTTAATTTAATCAAACTTTACATTATAATTATTCGTGTTTTTTGGCCGTCTGGCGCCATAACCCAGTCCAAAATTTTTCGTAAACGAAAATGTCAGAAAATTGATGAGAGTAATATTTTTTTTCAGATAAAAAAATTGTTTTATTGTATGGAGTGGTGTTATATTTGCTGATTGCACTTTGTAAATTTTGTGAAGTCATGATTCAAATCCATTTGACAATGAAATCGACAAACCAAGCCGTAGTTTGATATTCTTCCTTTTTGTTTTCTTCATAACAAATAATAAAGAGTTGCACTAACTTCACTACTTAAAATCTGTTGGGCCCTTTTCACCTTCATTTGTTGGAAAGAATTGTTGCTTGAAAGAATGATATCTTTTTTAAAATTTGGTGTTAAAGTAAAAATTAATTATGTCTGCTTGGGCTTCCAGCTCGAACTCTTCTCCCACTCTTTACCTAATATTTCAAACCTTATAGATTCGTTAACGAATCTCTGATGATAGGGCCTATTAGCCGGCCTTATCAACGTTGTCGACTGTATTTGCTTCAATCGTTCTTTGGAACCAGTTAAAACAAAAAATAATGCGTGCTTAACAATATCTTCTGAAGAAGGCGGAAGAGTAATATCTCCAATATATTTTTTTTTGTTTAGGGATCAAGCATTCTTCCTCCCATTATGCTGACTTCATCGAGGCAAGTGAACATTGTCTATCACTGTCATTTGTAAAATTCGTCACTCTATATTCCAACTATTTAAACATTTTTCGTCAGAGATGCCAGATTCAAACTTTATATGTTTAACTCTTTTGCTTAATGTCCTACGTGATGGTAAAAATAATCCTTGCTTCAATAATTCGTCGCACCCAGTATTCATTAATAACATCTTGCAATCATTCTTTTAAATATTCGACTTTTTTCTCTTCAAAAATAAATGTTCCATCACATCTTTAGTTTGTTCTCTGACAACTGTTTGTTTTTTGTTTCAGTGTGACACGATGCAATAGGGTAAACCAGACAGTAGTCGGACACTTAAGAAAATCTTTTTAATGAATACTATGTTTAAAAATTACAATTAAAATGTCTTTAAAATTTCTTCCATGTGTAATTGTTCCTAATGTTTCTACAAAACTAGTATACCAATCATATTTACAAAAGAAAATTTCTTATTTGATAAGAAAATTTACAAAAAAAGTAAGAATCCGACAATAGTCGGCCACCTAAAGCAATCTTTTTTA